CGACGTGTGGTGGAGGCTGTTCCAGCAAGGGCTTAGAGTCCTTAGAAGGTTGAGATAGCTTCCGCCTCCCCGACTACTGTAGCTGCCCCGAAACAGGTAGAACTCCATCCGAATGGCAGCGCCAGCAGAAAGCTCGCTGGCAGGCGGGTAATACCGACGGCACGGAAATTGAGCAGGCTAGTTGGAGGCCCATCACCGCCGCATATCATTTTGGCAAGTGCCGACTTTACCTGATAGAATCGCTACCAGATGTGACTGTACCCTCTGCACTGTTTAGCCAAGGTGGAGTGGAGATTCATCTTCCACTCATACCATCATCATCCAGTAGCGTGCCTCTGCAACACCAGGAGGAAGTGAATGACGCCACTTTGAGGTACTGAACCGCATTTCGCGTATTGCTCTTCAAAGGATCGATAGGGCGGATTTAAGCCGCTGTAGGCTGCTATCGAACGGGCATGAAGCCGGGCGACCTTGGTTTGGCTGAAGCCATAGAATTAATCGACGTAATCCCCTAGGGCTTACGGATGCGTAAATACAATCGCTAACCACTGGGATTAGAGGCAAGTTCCCCATGAGGTAAAATCAACGGTCAAGTTCTGGCAAATCAACCTGGACCTGGTACCATGAGGAGGGGCTTGATTACTCGTAGACAAGACTGGAGGGTAAGATACGAGCCTGTGTCCCCACCACCTTGGAGTAAAAGCCTCCCCTGGGAGGCGTAAACTCCTGAGGGTCGGGTGTTTCAGTACTCGACCACTTCACCTGCATAACAGAATAATACGCCCTGCATCTGACCTCCCCAGGGACGCACTGTAAACCAACCAGCATGCATTCCAACTCCTCCCCGACCTCATCCCTCCATTCTTCCTCCTAATCGATCCTCACCGAGTGAGGTCCTCTGCTCCCAGAGAGCTCTGAGGGATCATCCGAGGGTCTACAGAGAGGGACAAAGCGAAGCCGCGAGCAGAGGTCGGTTGCCCGCACACCCGACCCAAGACTTCGAGACTGAGTCGCGGTGCCGCAGATGAGGAAGAGCCCGCTGGGATTCCTCAATGGTAGACAAAATGATCCAGACAATCGAATGGCCCGCCAAGCCGGGCGCCAAAGCAGTAGGACCACATGAAGTAGGGCAACCACAGGGACTGCCAAACTACTTAACTACATGGACCAGACCCGAGGCCGCGCTCAATGGGCGGTGAAGTTATTACAGAGGAGGGTGGCCAGCAACCGAGACGCGAAACTCGGAGCCAATCACACTCTACGGACAGAAACCCCACACCAGAGCCTAAGCTGAGGTTGCAGGAGCACTGCCCGCCATAGACCTCGACAATACACACACCCGCACCTGGTCGGACACCAATCTCCTGTCGGAGGCCAGCCATCGCTAAGCCAGCCACGAGTGTGGACCGAATCCATCTGCTTCTGCAATATATCAGAAAAGTAAAATCAATTGTTAGCTGGTTAGAAACAGGGACAGGAGGGGAAGGTGCCTGTGATGTTGAGGGATGGTAGGTGAAGGAGCCGAGGCCCCGGTACCCTTCGCCCGCTTAGGAGCATCCCCGAAAAAGAGAGGAAGCCGTTTCTTTTTCTTTGTTTTTATCTTTTGTCTTTAGGCTGCTCCTGACCCCTGTAAATGTCCCCCTCGCCTGAAGTAAGGGACGTGTAGAACATGTAATCAGCACGCCTGGACTTGATGAGCGGGGAGAAAGCCTGACACATAGAACAACCTTGTTCGTCATGGGCTTCCTCCGCTAAACAACGTGAAGCAAAAATCCAGGTGGCGATCCTGAGGCTACATAAACTGCCGCTACAGGTGACACACACCCTTGGGCTGCAAAACAGAACCACGCTTATGATAATAGCAAGGACTGTAATCGATATACATAATATAATATGCACACAACAAAAACAGAACAAAATACAACGCCAAGGCGATATTTTTAACTGCATACAGCAAAGCTATTAATTACTAGCGAAAAGCCATAATAGCGGCTTTAATTAAGCATATAGGTGACAAAAGAGCAACATAGGTGAGCCGCTTACACGTAAACGCTACTACAATTTAAAACACTCAAGCAAAACTTACCTAAAGCCTGAAAAAAGAGGAATTTAGGCAAGTATAATCTACAAAATGAAATATCAGCCCTTTCTACAACCTCGACTACAAGGCTTTTTTCTAAAGCCAGGAGAAGGAAAGCAACGGAACCCCGCTGTCCGCCATCTTGCCTCCATTAACGTATTGGAGACAGCTTAATACGCCGTAGTTACAACAAATCATGAATGAAAAAAGTCATACAAAGATTCCAGCTAGCTCAGAAATAAAAAAGGAACCATACATACAGGATTTGACTCTATCTCACTCATCATCCTTATTATCAGATTCTTCGATTCATGCAATCGACCTACACCGGCCGACGACAGCATGAAAAGTGGGAGGTACGAGGTACACAGCCAGAGTTACCTGTTTTGACAGTAAATTCCCTCTATCGGGCCCTGTAGGGTGGTCTCACCACACATAACGAAGTTTTTGTTTGGTAAAATATTTTATTGAAATATTGTTACAAATCTGTCGTGAGGGCTTTTAAAATGGACATTTTAATGCTTATATGTACCCCAAGCGAGGACTTCTTCTGAAAAAGAATCAACAAACTATACTCTATGAGAGAGAAAAACCCCTGTGCAGTGTTAGACACAAGAGAGTTGGGTCCACCAGCACGCATGATTGCATGGATAATATTAAACTAGATAACCAAGGATGGTTTAACCCTGAGTCATGAAGACAATACTTCATTGTAGAGTATGCCCTTGTCTTGCACATCAAAGAACTCAGTGTCCATCACACTCCAGCAGCGCCTTTGTCCTTCACCACATAGTCCAAGGTCCCCAGGGACTGAAACATATACAAACATACATCTTAAAGGGATCTCAGCTCTGGCAAATTGGCAGTTCCATAATTTCTTAATTCCAGTAGTTCCATCACCACTGCATCTCATTAACACTGCTGTGTAGATCAATCTAGTAATTCATATTACAGAGACTGTAGGAAGTGTTATACTGTGAAGTGATTTAATCAATAATTACAAATATGAAAATTGATGGGGAGACATAGTCTAAAATTTGGTAACTATAAATTGTATATTTATATACTTTATCCTATCTCACTGGTATGCAACTCTCTCTTCTTCTTCGACCCACATGTGGAAACGTGCTGTAGGCTAAGTTGAAATCCTAAAACTTCTTGGCCTCTGTACCAATCTTTTGACCTCTGCCCCCCCTCTGATAGCATGACCTGTCAATCATCTCTATGAGGGTGCAGTGTCCTCAGATGATCAAGTCTGGACGTCCCCTAGCTGGCCATTCCTGTCTCTTGAGCTTCCAGCAATCTGTGATGGGGGCAGGTCGGGTGGGAGTCCATTGCGTGAGATGGGATAAGTATATGAATACATGAGCTAAGGGTACCAAGAAAAACTCCAGCCAGATATTCCGCTTGTCAAGCCACCACTGGAAAGACTGGACTAAGCTGTTCAGGAAGGTTATGGATCAGTTCCTTCGGGTTCAGTTGTCGGCCTCAAGATATGGGCGAGAAATCGCTGTATAAATGGAGTTGAGATGGCCTCTGTACGCTGGGTCTTGAGCTGACGTCAGAAGGCCTAGCAACTAATGCCACTGAAGAAGGCGAATCTCCTGAGATAGGATACATTCGATTAGTCAAGCCAGCATGACAGTAAGAAAGAAGTGCTGGAATGTAGTGGGTTCATGGTACGGAGATCGTCAGTCACCGGAACATCTGGCACATTGTACTACCATAGTGATGCAGGTCGATAATCAGTGATCGTGAGGAAGGTATGCTGGCTTCATAAAATGAAGTTATCCCCAGATGGAGTGATAAAGTTAGTAGATGTGGAGGCATGGATCGCCAATCTACCGGAACATTTTGTAAAGTTGATGGAATGGCTGGAGTGTAAAAGGACCAGTGACTCCAGGAACGCTCGAAGTCTAAGGTCGATGCTTACGGATGAATCAGGACATGCCTGCAGTGACCTCTGAACTGAGGGCTTAAGCCTGAACCGAGTAACCTCTATCTAAAGTGGCGTGGACTTGGGTTTATGTCTGACGCCCTCGGTAAACTGTTTCTCTCAGCTGACTGGCGGAAACTCTACATGATCACTCTTACCAGGCCTGGCACCGTCCATCATCACTGGTAATTAAGGCTGGGATAGTTATCCTCTCATTGACCGATCTAAACCTCAACATAATCATTCTTTACCTCGAATGGCAATTCATTCATCATCACTGGCAATAAAAGGCTGATAGTAATCCGTTTCATTGGGAATTCAAGACGAGTCTGTCAGGGCACTTCATAGTCACTGTAATCATCAAAGTCTCCTCGTAAACAAACAGTAAATCATTTTATTAGCAGCTTTATATCCACATTTCAAAATGAATTTACAGAAATTAGTATGAACTTTTTCTATATGCTTGCTACTTGTAATCCCCTGAACCTCTGATCCATATAAAAGAATTGGTTGGATTTTTCCGTCAAACAATTTGACTGAAGACTCAATGGGAAAATTCATTTGAACAGGGATTGTTGAATTTGATATCATCGCTGAGTTGGAGGGATCACTGTAGACAAGCTCTAATAAATGAATCATTGTAGGTGCTACATGCCCATCCAGAAAATTAGAGACACACTGCCAGTAGTCGCTGACAATGCGATTGTGGTGCTCTAAGAAAAAGTCACTAGATCTGTCAATCGGCATTGTGACAGTGAAGTATGGAGTTCACTGCCCGAGTAGAGGTCAGGTGGTACAGAGGCCAAGAAGTTTTGATTCAACTTAGCTTACAGCACGCTTCCACATTATGGGTCGAAGAAGAAGAGAGAGGTGCATACCGTGAGATAGAATAAGTTTAAAATTGCCTCTTTAATAAGGTTTCATTAGTGTCCATTTGTAACAGTTGAAAATCAACCTGAAAGTGTTAAATGTGTGATAGTATAAGTTCAAAAATACCATTTAAATCATACTCACATGGTCAATGAAGGCCTGTAGGAATTTGTTCAGCATGGTGTAGGCCTCGACACTCTTGTCTGTGATCTTGCCCTTGTTCCCTGCCTCTCTATTCCCAGCCATGGCTGTCTACAATGTGAAACAGTGGACACTTAGAGTTGTGCCTGAACTAACCGGGGAGAGTTTCTCACAGCTTCATGCAACGTCCCAGTCATAGCATTGGATGCCAACAAAGGGCTTCCCATTGAGATATCAAACCCAAGACTTGATCAACTGGGCTACTTCCCTTTACAAGGTAAGATGAAAAATAAATGTGTTCTGCTGGTAAACAAAAAAAAGAATAAGGGTTCTTCCTGAAACTGTCTCTTAATGTCAAAAGGTATTACTAACAGTTGGCCTTGATGTTGTGATATGTCTGCTCAAACAATGTGGCTTCATCTGTATGACACCACAGAATAAGTACGGCATGTCTTAAATCATTAGCCTCCTATGTAAACTGCGACTATGCCGTATGTCTTACATCTAGAGCTGCAGGGAGGTAGACCTGGTCGTATTTGTCTCGCAGTCTGCTAGGCAGGGTCATCTGGAATGTTTGCTGTTCTGTGTTCGGCATCAGTCCACGTTGGCCACACATGTCTTGCTGCACAACAAAATACAACCTCATTTAACACACGTCTTACTGTTAAACAGAACATCATTTCACTAACTACATTTATCTTACTGCAACACAGCTACATAAGCACAATTGTTTTGCTTTAACAGAAAAAGCCTCACACCAAGAAACCAGGATGTTGGGCACAACAATCCAACCTTTAACTACCAGTCTACCTCACTCACTCCACATGCTGTCCTAGTAGTCCTCTCTTACCTCCTCCCTCTTCATCATCTGGTGCATCTCCTTCATATCCGTGTCGGCCTTGCCGTGCACGGACCGTCCGTGGATGTAGTAGCCATATGCTGAGTTAGCCATGATGAACAAACTCACGTTACTCATGGAGCACAAGTCTACAAACTGGCGTACTGGATCCTCAATGAACCTCTCATAGATGAACACGTAGAAGATCCACTGAGTTATGGCTGAAAGGAAATGATAACACAGTTCTGTAGTTAAAGTTTCCTGAACATTCAATGTAAGATAGTCAGGCTGTGTATTGAACCTGCAAATATTTACAATTCATTTAAGACTCAGAGAGACAGTGAGTTTCTCTTCCTTCATTGTTATGGATTACTGCTGAAGATCATTTCTGACTTTGAACATCCCAATATCACTCCAACTAATACCAGATCAAATGATATGCACTTCTGGTAAATAGATCCAGCATTATATATTGCAACACCTTCTTGTATATTATGATACTCATATTGTGTAAACACCGTACCTAGAATCAGTTAAACCCTCACACGGCCATGGGCACACATTCCTATATACAGCTACACACTCACCAACCAAGAGGTAGACAAGAACAGCGACGGCGTATCTGTATACGTAGGACTGTTGACTCTGGTAATCTGCAGCATTCTTCAACACGCTTCCATCAGGATCCATTGTAGCAACATTTTCGAACCCCACCACTTTCAGGAAGAACACGACAGCAAACACCTGAAGCACAGGGCTAATTTTTCTTGTTGCCTGAATTTCATTCCATTCATTTGCCACAAAATATGTCCGCCAGATTGACACAGGAGTTCCTCCAGATTTCCGGCCATCCTTTGATGTTTCCTGGACACCTTTGGGTCGCTCCCAGTCTATGAGGAAGATGTCTGTGGTGCACTGTAAAACCATCATGTGGATGATGCTGAGAGTCTTCAGGGCAAAGGATGATCCGAACAGGGCGAGCCAGTCTTCTAGGGCCTGACCTGATGGGTGGACCAGGTATACTGCATTCTGTCTCTGAAACAAATACTTGCACTTAGTATAACACTCGAAGATGGTAGTCTCCCACACCATGTAGGTGGGGTTCAACAGCTGTGGTCTGAATGGCACTGCGAGCAATCCAAGGCGGTAGTCTCCCACACCATGTAGGTGGGTTCAACAGCTGTGGTCTGAGTGGCGCTGCTAGCCATCCATGACCGCATTCTCCCATATTGCACACATCAATAATGACCACCCAAAGTTAATACCCATGGTTTAAAAGGTACTGCACACCAGAGCTGTTTTATTTTCTTTGAAGCCAAACATCATCCGACATTCACTTTGACAAAAGCACACACACAATCATAAACTGCCTGTGACAGAGCAAGGGTGAGGTTGTTAAAGGCTGAAACATTCAAGCTATGCATACTGGCTTGTCAATATTGGAACCTGGTCCTGGTAAACCAGTTGTGGGGTGTATAGCCAGGGAAGTTGGCTTTACTTGAGACCCTCTTATGTTTCAATAATGAAAGCCTGGCATTTGTTTGTTTATTGTTTAATGCTTCACTCAGCAATATTCCACCAACATAGTGGCAGTCTGTAAATAATCGAGTCTGGAGCAGACAATCCAGTGATCAACAGGATGAGCATCTATCTACGCATTTGGGATACGATAACATATGTCAACCAAGTCAGCGAGCCTGACCACCCGATCCTCATGTAGTTGCCTCTTAACTATGACAAGCATAGGTTGCTAAAGATCAATTCTAAACCAGACCTTCACGGGTAGAAGCCTGGCAGTTTGAGACACATACCTTGTAGAAGATGAGCCAGTAGAAGGAAATCCCGAATGTGATGATGAAGAAAGTGTTGGCTAGAGAGCCAGCCAGGTAGAAGATGAAGTTGATGATGGTGGGGAAGTCAATGGCAGCTCTGCGGCCCCGTTTCGACCACACCCATGTCCTGTAGCCTGCGTACAACACTGACAACGTACCTAGTGTACCGGTGGCAATCTGGAAGTCGCGAGTATACTTCCCCTGGTCCATTGAGTAGGTGACGCTGAATGACACCTGAAGGGACATTAACGTGGAGGGATATAATATTCAGTGACTGTTGCCACTGGTCAAGTAACCTCAACTTGGTCAATACAATAACACAATATTCTACAGAATAGAATGCCAACACTGAGGAACTGATTGACACAATTATCTGACAGTACTAGTGGTACACATACCGAAACCTTCTGACCACCCTGTGCAGCCTCCCTGGCCACCTCGCCGTACGTTATCTTGAAGTATGGAGGGTTGATCTTGCCATCAGTCGTTCCTGCCTGCAGACTCAGGACCAGCTGGATTGACTGTACATATCGCACATAGGTTGCATTGGGTGCAGTCTGCACATCTGGAACAACACCAGCCAGTGAGAGTGAGATGAGACTGGTTCATCAGTTCAAAGACAAAGCTATGGAGACTAAAAGTTCCAAGGAATACACCACAACAGACTGGAGACATGATAATTGAGTATGGCAAGAGCTAACCCTGATTCCAAGACTGTATTCCTGGGAATAACTGGTCATCCATAGCATCAAGTCCTACCCTCTAGTCTGCAAACTGAGCTTTTCACAATTTCTTGTTCTTGCAAAATTTCAGCTTACAAAGGTTCATATATTAACACTGGCATTTTCTGAATTGAATTGCCAAAAAGTTTAGTTGCCAATTGAAAGTTTTAAAACATATGGATCACAACAACATTTTGCACCTTTATAATTTTCAGTTCTCTGGGAGTATGAAACCCAACCTGCCTGAAGGGAAAGATATGGTATGATGTAAAACATCATCTGTTTTATAAACGGCTTGTGCACACTTTTCATTCATAAAATACACAGACTGATTGAGTTATTCAAAACTGTTATTATTTATCCACATTTTTCATCCCATGACAATATGTCAACATCTTGTTAATGTTGTGTAACACAAAGCCACAAGACAACAGAAATCCACAAAAACCATTAAACCTACCTGGTGATGTGGAAGTTGTGATTGTGGCCTCATTGTCAACCAAGAACAATCTTCGAGTGAGCTGCCAGTCTGCCATAGCACCTGAAATAGGAAAATTCATGAAATAACCAAACAGTCTTAAAGGTATTTCACAACATTTCTCAAATCAATAATTCAATAAACTGCTTTGTATAACTAAGCAGAAAACTGAAGTAAATGTCTCTTCAAAATGCTTTTTTTTACATAGGCATGTACTAATAACAATCATCAGTTCCTGGTTTACAGTTCCTTACACCCCCGTCCTAGCAGTGCTCCATCTTAACAAGGAAATGTGATTGATCCTGGAGGAGGTGAGGTGAGGTGAAATTGGGTTTAACGTCGTGCTTGAGAATATTTCGCTCATATGACGACGTGCATGCGAGTGTATGTGTATGTGCGGCTGCTTGTACTAGCCCAGACTGAAGCTGGTTTTAGAGTGCTAGCCCACTGAGATACCATGCCGCAGTGAAGCATGAATACCCCACTCAGACACATTATACTGACTCCGAGCCGACCAGTCCTTGATGTACCCATTAATGCCGAGCGTCAGGCAGGGACCAACAAGTACCATATTTTAACGTCTTTTGGTATGACGCGGTCGGGGATCGAACCCGCGACCTTCCGCTCTAACCACTACACCACGGAGGCGGTGTTCCTGGGGGAGGAAGCAACATACCATCATTGACTCTGCGGCCAGACACGTCTCTGTAGTTGCTGATGAGCAAGGGGACCTTGTAGAGTCGTCTCTCAGTACCGTCTGTGTAGTCCAGGTCTAGGTCAGCAGTCAAGGGCACATAACTCTTACCTCCATCTGATTTACGGGGGTGACTGAGTGAGTTAAAATTTAAAGTCACATCGGCAGTATTTTTAAGCCATATGATGACTAAAAGTTAGTAAAACATGTTAACTATAGCTGATTTACATAACAACCTTCTGTAGAAACCCAGTGTAGGGATGACATATTCTGCTTTCAATACAGTTCAACAGTGTTTGAAATCAACCAGCAACGTTATCTCATGTTAGAATAAAATAATTCAGGAGCAAAATCAAGACTCTCTTAATTTAAAAAAAAAAGGGTCCAGATGACAGAAGATAGAAATCCATCAATGCCATTGGATTTCCGCTTCCATAGCTCTAAGAGTCATTCATTATTGTGTTATATCTGACCAAAAGAATTTCGGATAGCTTCATAAATACAGCTTCCCAAGACAATAGAGTTAACTGACTATAAAAGTCCACTTTCCAACATGGCAATCTTCACAGTTAGTTGTTCAGGCAATTCTATGTATAGCATATAGTCAATAATAGGATTTGCAAAGCAGACTTTTCATGCCTGTTTATGAAGATGCTCAAGTCCTGTCCTACAATCGACATGCACTGATGTCTGGGACAAGGAATGTGAAACTTTTCTCCTCCTATTGACTTGGAACAGCTAGTCTTGACTCAATACTGCCATGTTGGTTGAAGGAAATGCAAGTGATATGAATGGTGAAATCTGATTGGTAAATAAAATGGACATGAAAAGGACATAACTCATAATAGCCACTGGAGGTGTTTTGATAGAGCATGAATTTAAACCAAATTTGGCAAAGGTGGTGGTTTTTATAGCCTGTTATCTTCCTTTCCTTGTGAAAATGCATGAATACTGCAGATCAGTAAATCAGTGTCAACAATACTGGAAGTATCAAGTCTAACAGTACACAGGTCAGTTTCTAGTCAGCCGTGAAAAGGATACAGATATCGAAGAACTCCAGGGGGTATTTCTTCTGATTCCACAAACTCAGGGCACTGATGGAACACTGTCAACAAATCATTATCACAATTTGCAGTCTATCATCGTGTTACTGTTTGTAAGCTTTTTGTGAGATCTAATCATTAAGTTACATCTAAAGTTTAGTAACATTTAATATACAAAATATGAATGAAGAAATATTAACTATGTGTATAAAGAAATTTTTTAGTCAGGGTCAGCCGAGATTCAGCAGGACAAGTGAGTGTGTGAGTTTAGTTTTACGCTGCTTCAGCAATATTTCAGCTATATCGCGGCAGGGGACACCAGACATGGGCTTCACACAATCGCACTCCATGTGGAGAATTAAAGTCGGGACTTCAGCATGATGAGCAAGTGCCTAACTAACCACGGGTTACCTTAACAGCTGCCCGCAGGACAAGCAGATATGTATAGCTGCTCGCCCCTTTGACTGACAAATTCTAGTCTATTTCCAGTGACAGGCACATGTTAGTGAGGGAAAAGCAAACATTTAGCAAGGCTAGACGCTATCTCGAAGTCATTTCACATAAACGACCTGTGCTAGGTCAGCAGTGGACTGATTCTACAGATATGACTGATGGCATCTAAACCTGTATTTTATGACATTTCCTTTCCTCATAACTTCTTCAGCTTCAATTTTCAATTGAACAATAAACATTTTCTACTCACAGATGAAGAAAACACAGTTCCAAATACAAAAGCTGCATTAAGTTGAGTCTCGGTGTTTTCACATAGCTGTATTAGTCCCCAGTGATGTCTTCCAAAAACCAAGGAACGCTCCACCCAGACTGTACCTAGCTTACCTTGAACTTCATTGTCATGGGCGGGTCAAATGAGTAGGATGTGGTGATGTCGCTGTTGTAGACAATGTCTTCAGGATCGCCGGTGTAATACAACGGGCCGGGTAATGCGACTGGATTGACAGTGCTGTCACTGACATAGAAGAACGGGTGTGAGGAAGTGAATATATATGTTCATGTTCAGTAATTCAAACAGCACAGCTGTATGTCAGTGCATGGAAATAATCATGATCAATCGAAATGTTAGTGTAATGTAACTAAAAACATATTCTCTACATACTAGTGGGTGAATTTAGAAGACACTGCAGAAGATTAAGGGGAATCTTGCAATAAATACTGAGATTTCTCATTCAAGCTATTCAGGTACCAAGGTGAAGGTCACAGATGACTGTGGTCATCCAGTATTGTTAGCTTCACACGCCTCTTGTCAACTGACCACATGATTACCTCTTGGTTCATAGCATGGATTCACACAGCTTTGACACATGAAATGATCTAAAACATCTGGTGGCCTGTTGTAAACTGTTTCACTTTTTCTAAAATTGCGGTTTCAAAATCCTAATAAGGTTGTTCTTGTTTAGTGGCAATTCAAAGGACTGAATCAAAAGTATCCTCAGTATGTTAACAACCACATAACCCAAACAGAACTGTGGTTCAGGGATACAGAAAATGTACCTGTAATCAACATTTTCCACATTAACAGTTGCAGCTATCAAGACCAGACCACTTCATTTCTGAACATTGGCAATTCATGCATGTCTGCTAGCCCCTGACCACTAATTTGAGCTGAGGGTAAGCAAATTTTTACAAACCTGGAGAGGTTATGAATTCTTTTGAAGAAAAGTCCTCCTTTGGGGTACATATAAGCATTAAAATGTCCATTTTAAAAGCCTACTTACAGTTGTAACAATAATATTTCAATAAAAATATTTTACCAAACAAAAACTCGCTATGTGTGGTGAGACCACCCCTACAGGGCCCCTCGTGAGGGCCCCGTGAGGGCCCCTACAGCCAAGAGCAGGTAACTCTGGCTGTGTACCTCGTGACCTCACTTTCATGCTGAACGGTCAGACAGAATGAGGGGAGGTGGCGGTCGGTATTCTTGAGGACTTTTCTTCAAAGAATTCATAACCTCTCCAGGTTTGTAAAATTCTTTTTCAGAAGAAGTCCTCCTTGGGGTACATATAAGATAAGACAGACTCCCAACGATGTTGAGTCGAGCCGTATTCTGTCTGCCTAACATACCCCTAGTTCAGTCGGCTGCACAGCTGAAGCCGACAGAGAGAGAAAGTACACTCACCTAGTCACCTGACCGCTGATGTCAATCAGGCGGGCGCAAGGCGGGGAAAAGGGGCCTAGCCGATAGGCTATTGGTGGAATTTATAAAGGCGGACGCAAGTCCCACCCCCAACCATCAAAATGGGAGGGAAAGTATGGGCGAGTCCAATATATATCCCTCAGCAACCCAAACCAGCTGGCGCAAGTGCAGGGATGAACACAGTGACTGTAGAGAGTGATAATCGCTTACATACGGTAAAACCACCACCAATGTGATACCACCACCGATAAAAATTGAGGAATTTATTAACACCTACAACATGAGAAAAGCAAACGTGGATTTCTAAGGCTCATTCGGGCTAGAGAATCACTTTACACTGCCCACTGGTGAGAACTGTCTGGCCAAACCGGGCACGCATTCCCCGGAGTGTTTGTCCAGCTGATAGTGGCGGATGAACGCATTCTCGGTCGGCTCCAGATAGCCGCTGAGCAGATCTCCTCAATGGGCAGTGCCGCTGGGCATGCTTTCTTTGATGTCGCCACTGCCCTAATCGAATGAGCCTTTAAACCCTGAGGGATGGTTAATCCTTTGTAAGAGTAACTCGAACAAATGGCAGAGACAAGCCACCTAGATATGGTCTGCTTTGTTCGCGGAAGACCAGCCTTGCCACCGCCATAACAACAGAACAGCTGCTTATCTTCTTGATAGCAGCCGCTCGCTTGATATACTGTAAACATACTTATTTTCGCCGGTGCAATTTTCGCGAAATTGACAGTTTAGACTACTTCGGCGTCAATTATTCGCCGCTAATCAGTAATTGCCGGAACTGCCAGCTGTCTCTTTGGCTGCCACTAATAGCAGTGAAAACAAACAGAGTGGCTTAACCTGTCAGGCGGCGCTTATTGCTTACTCACAGGAAATCCCTATCTGTGCGATATACTAGTACACAGTAATCCGCTTACTCCCCGAAGAGATGAAAACACATCAGTCTTATGTTCCAATTTGACTCGATTTGACGAATTAACTTTACACTGTATATGAAGCTCTTTGTGATTTCAAACAAGCCGGGTTGTTGTGAATGAGATGATTGGAGTGTTAGTGACTATTCGCTTCTATGATGTACTGGTGAATAAAATCTTACTGAATAAATAAAATACTGCTGTATTATTTCTTTTCCGAAGTCAAGCTTCACGGTAATCTGTTTTGTATCAAACCATGTCATGTGACCACTTCCATGGCGGCCACAACACACATTGCTGTTTTCGCTAATCTCGCAATGGATTTGGCTCATTATTTAATTATGTTTTGGGAAATCCATTACAGCGACAGTTAAGTATGATCAGTCGCCAATTTAAGATTCCCGCTGATTTCTGTCTTCAAACGCGATGTGTTATGGTAACAACTCAGGGCGAAGCGCGGCTAGACTGAATGAATGACAGGTTTATTTGCGTGTATAAATTTTCGCTTAAAATGTTTTATGCCAAAAAGCCGAAAAAATAAAACCTGGGCGCTGAAATATAATACGCTTACAGTAAGCCTTGAGAGTCTTACGGACATCTAAGACGGAGCACGCCAAGAGAGGTACCGGACGATGGAGGCTGAGTGAAAGCTGGCAGCGTCTCGATGAGGGCCTAGTATATGAAAGGCTTCATCTGCATCTTAGGACGGTAGGAGTCTGGCAACCGAATACACTGACTCTGTCTTTGTGAAAGACAGTCAGAGCAGGATCCGCTGACATCGCATGGATATCACCTACCCGCCTCGCCACACGCTATCGCCACAAGAAAGGCAGCCTTCCAACTTAACAGCTGGAGGAAAGAGACGACAGATCGTGGAAAGAGAGGACCGGACATCCAATCAAGAACGATTGACAAGTCCCATCGGGGACTAATCTACCGGACAGTCGGACGGATTCTGTCCACGCTTCGCTAAAAAGCTGCTGTACGAGGGCGCTGGCCCCAAGAGAGCACCGGGTCCGGCAGGGATATGGAAGGCAGAGATTGCCGGGAGTAGCCCCGATAGTAGACGCGAGCTAAACCGGCTTCTAACCGAGACTGCAAGAACTCCAGTACTTCAATTACAGTTGAAGAAAAGGGATCAAGAATCCCTCTGCCGGAAACACACCAGCCCAGCATAACAGGCCCATCTATCCTCATACTGAACGCTTGTCGAATCCCTCCGCTGCCAGAATTGTGTCTGCAACTGGTGCAGGAATTCCGCCAAGGCGGATTCTGGACAGAGGCCAGCCGCCACCCACTGAATCCTGGATTTGGGTGCGGCGCCCGCTCTGGGATAGTAAGTCCGGGTCGAAGCGGTAATAGTACAGGAGGCTGAGCCAGAAAACCTGAGTAGTACCGAAACCAACTTTGAGCTAACCAAAGGGGTGCAAGGAGCACAAGAAGTCGAGCTGGTTGGGTGGCAAGCTGCAAGAGGACTTTGGGAATCAGGGTAGGTGCGGAACGCCCACAGAACCCTGTCCGTCCAATCGAGCTGGAAAGCCGCTCTTGGCGATGGCTCTCTGATCCGTATCCGAGCAAAACACCGAATCTGGTTCGGCCCCCAGATGCAAACAGATCCACCTGGAACGGACCCGGGAACAACTGGGAGATAGCCCTCAATATCCCCCTCGATGGAGCATCCACTGTCAGGGGCCAGGGATACGGCCGAAAGTGTGCATCTGCTCGAACGTCTGTCCCCAGGGAGATAAACAGGCATTAATTGTGATGTCGACTGGTCGCACTCCAGAGCAGAAACCGCCATGCCTCCTGCAGAAGAGACGGGAAACCGCATCACCTCTGCTTCAGGATGTAGGTCATTGCCGCCTGGTTGTCCATCCTCGAGACGGACCACATGGCCTTGAACTCCGCTCCCGGTCGCTTTGAACACCAACCTGACTGTTCTCTCAATTCTAGCACATTGATGTGCAGTTGCGCCGCTTCTGTGGACCACAGGCCTGAGACCCATTAGGGCGCTTCCAGCACTTCACCCTGTGAGGGAAGCGCCCGGCCTGAATTGAGAGATCTGGCGATGGATGTCCAAAGGGAGCCCTTTGGATAAATTCCCTGCCAGTGTCCACCCCTTTAAATGAGGAATTAGCCACCCTGGAGTGTGGAGAATCAACTCAGAACTCCTGGGTGTGGACCCATCTTCGAAGCTAGAGCCTGCTTGAATGGGTCGCGATCCTCAACCGCCGCCAAACGATATGTCCACCGCTGCCGCCATGTTGCTCTAGCAACTGGAGCCAAGTCCGAGCTGAGGCCCTGGGGAACTCGAGAAATTGTAACACAACTCTCTGACTTTGGTGACGCCGGGTCCGAGACAGGGAGACTATCCTCGTCGCTGTCTCGGTCTCGGGCCCCCAAGAACACCAGATCCTGGGTGGGAACCAGTTCTGATTTCTTGAGGTTGATAATCCAGCCCAACCTCTGGTGAGAATACTCATCACACAGCAAGTGTCGCTAACTCGACTCAAGCGGAGTGGCAAGCGCACGGAAGGAGCCAATCGCCTAGGTATCGGTGACAAGCACCCGCCCTGTGACCTGGCTACCTGAGCTGGAATTAGCATGAGTTTCAGTGAACACCCTTGGCGCTGTGGAAATGCAGAAGGGGAGTAATTCGAAACTGATAGCACTCTCCGTCGTCAAGGAAAACCTTTAGGTATTCTTCTGAACT